GCAGTTAGCACTGCTGGCAAAGCCAAGTGGCTAGTGAGCCAAAAATTTCCATCCTAGGCTCCCTTTCTTTGTCGAAAACGCCAACTGTGAAGACAGTTAGCTGTCTTCAGTTTTATCAAGCAGTAAAAACCATCCACAAGAAAAATTCAAAATGGAGGATAGAGGAAAGAACAAATTATAAATCCACACCGGCAGAGACACCAAAGGGACTCATCCCTACGGGATCCGATTTCGTAAAACCATCTCGCTCTATTTCAAATTTATTGATGAGAAGTTCTGATATCAGCCCGTTATCCGGAACCCCAGTCGCTAGATCGATCAGCCAATGTCTCTTGTAGATATACGCACTGAGACCCAAGTGTGCAATATGAGAGTATATCACTGGAGACCTTTTATTAATGTGCTACCGGCACTTAGATTTTTTCCTCAAGTGTGTCAAGTGAGTCAAGAGAGCTATGGGAACGAAATATGCCCTAAGAAAATGGAGGTCTCTGTCATTTTTTGACGAGGACTGAAGGACGAAACATACTCGCACCATCACAGAGCATGCGCCTAGCTTAGGAGTGAAAAAGGCCGCAAACTCAAATAAAAGCGTTCCCGGGAGACTCCGCGGTAGTCGCTCTTCACAAATTCTGGGAAGATATGCATAGCAGAGAATACTGATTTACTTATTGCCTCATCCTTCGTTAAGTGACGAGCACTTTCGACTTGACATATACAGGGCGAAATTGTGCACAATGCTGGATATGCCACCATTTATTCGCGGTCGACACTACATGGGATGCACCTATTCTGGATTAATCACTTAGACGAAGGGGATAATGATCATGCGTCAGCAGCCCCTAACCAAGAAATGTCAAAGCCGTAGCAAAGTTCAATGAAAACTATTTCCTAGTAGCAGATGAAAACAGGTGCAAGGCTGGTTAGGCCTTCGACAGGTTGAGTTACTGTCTGTGGTCACCACAGAACCCTTTTCCGAAAATCAGACGGTTTTATTGAAATAGCGATCCGCCAGTGCCCACCTAGCAGGCGGAAAACTTAATGATACGCCAAAGTTTGGCGAGAAGGCTTAGCCACTGGGGCTTAAGCTGACCTAAACAGTTACTGAAGGTGAAATGCCGGTAAAGTTCCCTCAAGACCTGGGTCCTGAAAACAATCAGTCTGCTTA